TTACAACAACGATAGGTATACGAATGACGTATGCGCGTAATGCGTAATAATTTTATTAAGCCGACTGTTTACACAGGTATATTTATAGTTGGTGCTTTTAGTCAGATATTCGTGAGCACTTTGGTGACGGGGCGTTGGGGGTTAGAATTGTTTACCGTTGGTCACGAATACGAACTCAAATAAGTGGTAAAAAGAAATATGGACGTTTTGTTTAAAAGTTAATGTAAATATATTCTACGAAATCTTATAAGGCCAGTATTTAAATAGGCCTCCGATCAGAAGTTGTACCTCGGCTAAGACTTTATCAGATCCCGAGAACTGTGTACCGGACGATGTCTAATGATATTTGTGTAGTGTTGGTACTGTTTCACAGTTTATATTTTTGATCATCGTCAAAACTAATCAATATTTATCGGACGCTGCCGTGAAAGGAATCGGTCAACGGGTGACCGAAAGTTCGGTTTCATTTTATTAACAGTAAAAATATAATATCTAACAATAATAATAATTTATTGATAATGACGTCTCGTACATATCTGTACGCTAATACTCGCTCTCAATGGTTTTTGTTGATTTTCTTGTTCACCTTTTACGGTTTGAAATCTTATTAATTTACAAGCCGAGTGGTTTTTCTTCAAATCTAATATCAGTGTCAGCGGGCTATTTTGTCATGCATAACTTTGTTCATGTTTACATATTTATTTATGTAAGCTGTAGGTCAGAGTGTGTTCAAATATTGATTAGGTCGACAAAATCCAAGCGAAATACATGTGTACGATTGTTATGAGAATGTAACTAATTATTAAATATTTTTTATTGCGTCGTAAAAAAAAAAGTACTTCAATAACCGTGTTTATAAACGTATTGTGTAGTGATTTTTTTTACGCATATTCGTATTGATGGCACCTGTACTCCATTCATTTGATAGCGAGTCTGCAGTTACTGCAATTATATAAAAAATAAACGGTTTCAAAATTTTATTTTATATAACCATAAATAACTTTATATAACTGATTCAAAACTTATCTGAAAATAATGGAAATAATTACGAATGTAAGACAGGCTAAAATAATTTACAAGCTTGAAATATACAATATAGTAGTAGGTAGTACAAGCGTTCAATGGAGGTCGCTGGCGTTCTCAGTGATATCATTTACATTAAATTATTTAATGGACTTAACATCAATAAGAGTTTTAAATATTGAATTGCAAATATCATTTGCACATTGTTTTTATTTGGGATAGCGAAATACCGTTAGTCGAATTTTCATAGAAAATCGAGATTTTGATAGTGTTTCTATAAATGTTGGAAATTTAAATTTTGTTTTGGTTTAATATCCAAAAGATTTTCTCATTAATATTCTTACGCCTCTTTAGTTATTTATTTTTCACCAATGAACAAAAGAAGTATTTCATGAAGAAAAATAAAAGTTTTTAAAATCAGTATATCACTGAAAATAACCGTTTCTGAAAGAATATCTTTTTTTTACCAATATAATTTTGATTTTTATCCGTAGTTCCGAATGTTTTTATTTTTTCATTTTAATTCATGCAAAACTTGATGAATATTGGTTTTTCTTTCATCTTGAATTATTCTACGTTCTATATCTTATAGTTATAAATCTTATATTTTCATTAAAAACTTTTTTATTTTTAATAACAGATTTGAACTATTGTTAATGTTCAACAGTAACGGCAACTGCAGTGCGCTTATATATATATAATAATATCAAACTAAATATGTATATAGTTTGATATTTTTATTATACGATGGAATGAATTCATTAATGAATTATGATAATTTTGCTTTGTTTTTATACGGTGTTTTTGGAAAACTATAAAGTTACCAGAAAAAACTTCCGAGTGAACCGTATTTAGCGTTTGAACAGTATATCAAATAATTTTTTTTTTAATTACGAAAACGTGCACCGGGTTTCGTAAATGCTTTAAATCATGTGACATGTGTTGGAACTCGCCAGTATATATTTATGAATATTTTTTTGTTATTTCAGTTTTAATAACAAGAATTTTTTTTTTTGAATCATACGTTTTGTGACGGGGAGGAAAAAACACTATAGATGTTAATAATACAAATTTATTATTTGATCGCTACTCAAATGTCGGAATGTCGAACGGGTGGATATTGTTTACGTACTGCAATAATTGCAATCATTTATAATTATTATAAATTTGATATAATGTGTAGCTCGTACATAATAGGTCGTTGGGTCTACATCGTGAATCAAACCCGTCAGTATATCACAGCCCACGCTGATCATGATTTTGAAAAAAAATGAAATTTTTAACACAAAATTCAATAGCATATATTAAACGACAAAGTTCTAAAGCGAAATGTACTAGTGGGCCACCAGAGTGGTAACTGAGCACCAATCAAAACCTTGAAATGTTTGAACAGCGAAATCAACAGTCGTGAAAAATAATATGTGAATTAAATACATTTAGTACTTTCGGTTTATTTGTTTTCAATGTATGTACGTTCGATTTCAATCCTAAAAAATTTGTGTTTATTTTTATGTAAAGTAAATTTTTAAATTTGTCTCAAATTTTTTTTATTAACCTAAAAAATTCCATAAAAATGTTCCTAAAGATAATCCGATGTGTCTTATTGATCCAAATTATTCATACTTTGATAGTAATAATAATAAACAGTTTTTGTTTTTGTTTTCAAAATAATCATTATCAGTATATTATAATTTAGTATTATTCCCGCATTGTTGTTTTAGAGAAGGGGTCTCAAAACAATTTAATTTGGGGGCCGTATAAAATATCAAAATCTCTAAGAGTGTCATAATTTTAATGTATCCTATACAGGTGATAATTATCGCATGTGTGCGATAATGATTTGGGATGCTACACATATTTGCAGATGATTTACCGTTCTTCAGAGGTCGGTAAAAACTTGTTCGTATATTGGATACAGGTCTTGGGCCATAATTTGGCGACCCCTAATTTAGAGCATAACAGTGTTCTCAACTTTCTTTAACTGTCTTTACCCTTTTTAAATTTTCAAATATCTTTCATCCTTCCAGCTTTATTAAAAAAAAAAAAAAAAAAAACTAATAGCTTAATTTTTATAGTATGCCATTTAAATTTAATAATAATTTGTATCTGTACTTTTTTTCAAAGTTGAGAATACATAGATTTTGTTTAATTCGACAAAACTCATAATATTAAAAAGTGACAGAAAAATTTCCTTAAATGAAACGTTTTTCTCAAAATAAAAATCCAAGTGGGAAATAACTTCTTTAGAGTGTTAATTAAAGTTTTTTTTTTTAAAAAACCATAGATTGTAACCTAGCTACACCTATTTTTGGTATCCCGACAACATATAGCCGGTAAAATATAGCGTGACCAAAATATCGCTACTAAAATATGGCGAAACCAATATATCGTAAAGAAATAATACCATCGTACATTATTATCGCGTCTGTATATTGCATTTAACTTTATCTTATCTAATCGTATTCACTTTTTACCTTTTTTTTTGAGAGTTCGACGATTATCTTCAAGGTATTTTATGAATATAATATATAATTTTTTTTTTTTAATTCTTAAATCAATTATACTTTATAACAATATTACATGCTTAAAATTGCATTATTTATAATAAAATTACTGTTATATTTCATGCTGACGATATGTATAGTGGCGATATTTTAGTTGCGATATTTTGTTAGTGATTCCTGGTTTTTTAGTTTCATTCCTGGTACACAGTTGATATATACCATCATCTATTATCAAGAATAACACAATTAATGATTAAACGTATATCATTTTTTAAATTTGAATTTGTGTCTCAGTAACAACTGCTGGTATATTACGACCACCTAACCATGTCTTCATTAATATCTGCTACTGAAAACCGAACCACTGTCGACTGGAAGATATGTTTTACCCGACAAGATTTTTCATCTTATCAGATTGTAAATACTAATTTACATACTTTTTCTGTGACCGAAATCTACGAGGATTTTTTTTTGTATTCAATGGTCTTAGCGCTAAAACTTCATCGTGTTGTTTTTACCCATATTAAAATTTTAAAATTCTAGTTCCTTACAAAAACTTTCCATGTTCATTGTTAAGTGTTAACGTTGTGCACCGTACTGATAATAATTTGAACGCATTACAACTGACAAATTACTATGGCATTAGACATCATTATGATAAGTCACTTATGGCAATCGTTATCGAAACGGCTACGTGGCCGCAAGAATATATTGCCTAATTCTGATTAGACATTATATATAATGACTTGGTAATGTGTATGTTATATAATTTACCTGGAAATATCAGTCATTTTACTAAACGCCTAGGCATTAAGTATAATGCCTGAATTATACATAATTATACATACCAACGGGAACACATACATGGCAGGTTAATTGAATCATATGTTTCTTAATTTATAATATTTTATATTTTAATATATACTCATTTTTAAAAATAATTATTTTAATTTGAAACTATTTATTTTTATTTTTATACGTGTACCTAAACATAACAGAAAAATGAATATACTAAGAATAATTCACCGTTATTTTTTTCGTAGTTAAAGCATTTCGTGTTGTGTGAATATTTTCCCTATTTATTTTTGACGATATTCCTACGGTATCGTGTGACAGAATAGGTGCATGCATTATAACATAACAGAAAGCGTGTCCAACAAACAATAAAATAAAACAACCAAATAACAAATATAATAACAAGTGTATTACTATAAAACTATAAAATTAAAATCACATATCGCTGTAGTAAAATACACTTGCTACACAATAAATATTAGAGTGTTGTAGGAAATCCGGTTTTTCTACAATATTATTCGAATAATCCGAACAAGTTATGACTACTATTTTTTTTTCACTAGCTATCAATTAATAATCGACAATCATTACTGTTGTTGTTGGTTCTCATCGTGCGTTTGGAATAAGACCGAAATGACGAACTCGTCGCCAGGCAGTAGCAGTTTTTGTACGCGGGAGTACACGTTAGCAGACTACGTTTTCAGGTAATCCTCTGTGGTTTGTTCGTATCGGTGTACAATACTTTCACGTAGCCGTTGCAGTTGGTCTGAAACGTGTACAGGATCACGGTCGTCTGGCGGTCGCACCGGACTTGGTACGCGCACGTGCACGTCGTTTCCAGATCCGATTCGGTCAGTTTCGTGCTGTTACTCGAATAGTTGCAGAATCCTTGCATCAACGTGACGATTACGGGCCCTTCGAGCCGCATGCTCTTGCTGTACTGCACGCACACGTCCGTGCACGTCTTCGATCCCCGGTTGGTGAACTTAAGCCCGGACAAGGTGTCGGCCTGCACCAGCAGGTGGATTTCGCACATGTTGAGCATGACCTTCGACGGGAACGCGGAACCTGGTAACAGCGCGGGAAAACGGAAGGATAAAAAACCGAGAAACAGGAGTCGGTCGGACGAGATACGCAGCTCTGGTCGAGTTGAGACTCCGGTCGGATCATGTCAACGTTTCTTATTAAAACGCTTTGAAAAAATAAAATAAAATATCGTGTCGAAGGATTTTCGATAATCTTTTTTTATCCAACTGCGAACAATGTACGAACAACTTTCTATTCGACTTTCGAGATTTTTTTCGTCACCCCGCAATCGATTTATTGTCATGTTACACGGAAATGCGATAAGAAAAAATGAACATTTCGAATATCCATAAATACAACATGAAATTGGGAACTTTTGTAGACAATGTTAGATTATTGGTTGTACCGTAAATAATATGATCGTACGTAGTAGAAATGCACATTTGTATAATATGAAAATCTTGAATAGAGATACAAAAATAATTGATGCATTTAAATAATGGATTTTTTTATCACGTTAATCGTGTAAGCCTATATCAATTTTTTTAATTTCCGTAACCGTCTGATGATCATCCCGATCATCATTCAATAAAGCTTTGCGTATCCTCAATAAATTGTATAGCTTATTTTGTTTATTTATTTTTTTTTATTTTTGCTTCTTATTATTATTATATATTATCATACATTGCGATATACAATAAAATAAGAAAAAATACTGGTTTTTCTTTGTCACAAGTGTTAATAATTAATTTAAATAAATTATATAGTAATTAATGCTGTGTACGGGTTTGATTTTTATAATAGAAGTTTTGCATTTTATGTGTATATTTTCGAAACACGAACCGTTTTAAATAAATCAAACTCGTACATATTTATTTTTTTTTCGTATACCCTCAAGCTTACGCTGACCATTGGTCGAGAAATGCTTGGGAAAATTCGGGTTTGTTTCCCAAAAATTAGACATATTAAAACCACTAAACCGTCGGAATACGTTACCCAAAACTTCCAAAGGATCCCTGTACAGACCGCAGCCCTCAGGCGTTTCACGTCTCTGTCGACGCTCTCCTCGTTGCGCAGCAACGAGTTGCTCGTTCGCAATCCGTCGGAATTGATCAGGTCCAGCGGAATCGCTGAAATTATGTAAGCACTCATCTTTTTCGTTTTGGATGTGACACAATTTTCGAAAGTATTTTGTTTGCTTGTAATTGTACACGGGTTGGTGGCACCAAACGACCGAATACAACTGGAAAATGGCAACGAAACTGGGGAACACGTACATTGTGCAGTCGCAGACACAGACTCCGTCGCCAGAGAATTTTTTTTACACTGTTAGTACAAACAGTGAACCCATCTCATTAGCAACCGTGGCTGGTAATATGATGAATTATTTGTATTTATGTAAATTTTATTTAATTTTATTCTTACTATCTAGTTGTATTGAATAACTTGTGAAAATAAAAATAAAAATACTCAGTTGTACCTCGACTACAAAATATTTCTTGGTAAACTTTTAATATCAATGTTATTTATTATTATTATTATTATAACTAATGAGGTATCCTTTTCGTATTATTTTGGATTTAAGACAAAACTTAAAATTGAAAAATGGTTTATCACAATAGCGCCATAATAGATGTATAAATATTTTGTAACCTTTATGAATAAATATTAGAATTTAAAAAAGGTTATATAACTCGCTAAAAATTAAGTACCGTAACCTGTGATATTGCATAAATAATGTACTTCCCTTTAACTTTGATCATGAGTCAGTTTACTCTAATATTAAAGCTAACGACAAAAAATTGGTTCTACTAAATGCAGATTTGCTATAGGTATTGTACATTTGTAAGACGGAAATAACACAAGTGTCACTGCAACAAATTTACGATTTAAAAGTATTAATAACGTAAAGTATACCTTTATGGAACTTTGATTAAAATTGAAAAAAAACCAGAAATATAGGTCTGAACTAATAAGTTGAAAAGTTAAACGAAAACATTTATAAAATATTTCACTAAAATTATTCTACATAACTTTTTTCATACGACAAAAAAAATTTTTAAAAATAACCTTAGTTCTTCAACGTTTTCATTATTTATATTTATATTTCATGAAATATATTTTACAAGTCATGTTTTTAAGTTTTTGTAGATTTATGAAGGGTTAAAAGTGAATATAAAAAATGTATGAACATAGAGGGACATTAAGTTCAACGTAACTAACAAGTGCCGTTTGACGAGTGAAAATAATTTCAATAAGACATATCATTATATATTGTAGTTTCAATTGAAAAGTGCAGTTAAATTTTTAGTGCGCTGAAATTTCCCTGTGATATACATAAAAAACATTACACTCGTGATTCTAGGGGCGTTCGTTACCATCTTATGCGTACATCAAGTTCATCGAGCTTATTACGACTTGTTGGAAAATAGCGTGGACGATTAGGGCACGGTTTTGCTTTGTTGTAACCTGAACGTGGCATTGTACATGCGATCCAATAGAGTACACGCCGCACTCCAGTAACTTCTAAAACAATAAAGAGAGCAAATGTTTTTGGTTTTCGCTAAACAGGTGCAAATCTATAATATCAGATGAATCTGATATATTAATCCTTAAGAGTTTTTGACCTTAAAAATTTAAAAATATGAACATAAGTTATTAATTAAATAATTAAAATATTGTCTTCACTATAAATATATGTCTGGTATTGAATCATTATTAATTTAATGTATTTTCTATAATCAACGATGGCTCGATTAAAATATTCGACACGTTAGCTCTGAGTTCGGATATTAGGCAAATTTTACGTTTGTCCGATTCACGATTAACTTTTCAGTACGCAGTTTAATAAACAAATGGGGGAGAAGCAAACAGTAATTTTTGACATTTTAATAATTTATTTAAAACGAACAGAAAACTATTCCTATTCTAGACGGATATCACTTTAACTCGCATCGGTCTTTTCGAGCTATTATAGACATGCAAATCTAGATAAATTATATTTGTTTAGACTAATACCAGTTTAAAATACACAACAATTTGTTATCTATGTAATTAAAACTAAATTTATTATCTTAGGATCTTTAAGCTCATATTAAACCGAAATGCTGTTTTTTTTTAATTATAAAGAACATTGTGGATTCAGTTTTAGGTATAAATACAATCTGATACAATTAATAAATAATAAATAATAAATTTTAATGGGTAATGGAATAATACTTCCTATTGCTTTTTTGATATGCCGTTGAGTTTGAGCGTAACTCGTTAAGGCAAGGTTTGACGAGTTCGCCATATTATTAACGTTTTGGCTCAAGCATAACACATAGCAATGCACGTTTTTATATTCATGTATTTAACGTAGTAATGCTTTGGTTATACTTATTATAAATAGAAGAACTCTATTGGAAAAATACATTGAAAACCCATTTAGAATGCAGCGTACACTTGGTGAAGAAAATACCAAAAATAACTACATTTTTTTTAACTAAGCAGTATACAACTATTTAAATCTAAAATTATTTGTAATATTATGTGTAAAACTTGCAAGCTTATAACCTTTGATGTTGAAACTTTCTACCTTCATAAAAAAATTAATATAATACAAATTTAAGATAAATGTATTAAGTTTGAGATCGCCATAGATATTTAAAAATAATTAGTTTGATTTCTTTGTTCCTTGCTTTGATTATTTTTAAGCTAGAACTTTAGACTATAGCTTGTTGAAAATACAGTAATTCGTTACCTTTTATGAAGAATTTATAACTTATAAGTAGAAAACTATGTAAAAGAAATATAACTAACAGATAGTTATTATTGTTTTTTCAAATTGTTTGTTATAATAACACGATCTGTTTTCGGTTTAACAGAAAGTAGATTTCATTCAACCAACATTTTTAATGCATTCTGAAAATTTAGAATCGGAAATGAAATAAATTATTTCTCACGCGCTGCTATTGCTATGCCACTGGTTTCGAATGAGAACAAAAGTTTTAGAAAATCATAAAACGAAAAAATAAATCAATCGAAAACGAACGTGGATTCGTTGTAGGTGTTGTTAAAAATCTTGACTGTTCGATAGGTTTATTTAAATATGTATTTGGATTATGTCATCATCAGTATCTACTAATGCATAGAATTTATAGTGAAGTGTGTTGGTAAGAGGATTGAAACGTATTACTATATAATTTATGAGCGTCTTAGGCTTGGGAACCGTGCCGAATTTGATTTACTGTTTTTTCCACATCGATGTTTTTGAAAAATGAATAACCTTAATACTTTTTTTGCTTGGAGAGCGTATATACATGATCATGAAGATTATACGAACATTTATAAAAATATTACTTTGTTATTCATATATATATATATATATACCTATATATACTCTGTTATATATATATGGTATAGGATAATTAAAAAATAGAGCGTAATTGTTAATAAATATATAACTCATTAAAAAATAATTAAATGTGTTTCATAAACATAAAAAAATATCAAATGAGCAAATAAGTTTTACTTGAAATATTAAATAATATGTACAAATATTAATGACCGGTTTTAAATTAAAAAGTCATCATCAGATATAAAAATGCTCTGAATATAAAATAAAATGAAAATTACAAAATTGATATTAGTTACAGTTTGTCATACAAAAAATAAATTTAGTGAAATAATAAAAATGCTAGTAAATTAAATGGTTTATATAAAAAAAAAAAAAAAAAAAAAGGAGTTGATATAGAGTTATGAGGTTTTATTAAGTTCTTGATTTTTTTCTTCTTTACTACTATTTAAAAAATTGTAATTTTTTATCAACTCGTTAATTTTTTTTTTTACTCTAACTTATATTCTTCAAAAGTGTAAATAATTTTAATTTCTATTCTTTCATTTAATTATCATACTAAATGCGTTTCTATACTTGATAATGAGTTATTTAAATCAAATGCGATTATAAATAAATATTTGTATTACACATAAGTACTTCAAGTAAGAATGATTATTATATTTTATGTTATACTGATATTATTAAAAATAATTAATCATTGAATTAGTATTAACCATACAACAATACATTTTTTTTATACATGCGTTTATTTATTTATATTAATGAAGACTGAGTAGAGTAAAAAGATATACGTTAGGACGGAAAGTAAGATATATTTGTTTCTGTATTGTGTAAATGATGCGCGAGATCAATAATTGATTTATAAAATATTACATCCAATGCAGTGTTTTTCTTTTCATGATTATTTTATCAAATTTATTTCCATTTAGAAATTGCATGAATATTATGTTTACAGAAACTAAAAAAATATAGAAAAAAAATTCTATGAAAAATATGATGCAGTCGTGAGAAAAAAATAAATAAAATAATTTCATTGATGTCACTGATAAATTATTCTAATAAAGATGAATGACGTATAAAATACATAATTATAAAATAAATAATAATATCAATAATGATATTTATAAAATACCATTGAACGTCAAGAATTTATGATATGAAAATATTTCCATGACGTTTTAAATACGTATAAGTGATTGTCACAAATATTGAATATTGGAAGATATTAAAACGATTTTCGTGTTTTTATAAAATGTCATATTATTTTTGTTTACTGCATATGAGTGTAGGAACCGTGGTAAACTACGATTCTCATTAAATTCCTTTGTAAATGGTAATAAAATAGAAAACAGTTAGATGATAAAACAATCAAGGGTAATAGCTGTTGAAATGGGTGAAATTAATTCAGCACGAGTGGACAGTAATAATAATTTTAATAGGTATTAATAACAATGTAGTTACTTAACTTCAGCTATATATGACTTCTTGTGTTTACTTGTTACGGATATCACAGTGCTGGTCTTTATAATTTATTATAATTATATATTATATAGTTTTTAGGTCCATATAAGTGTTGATGGGCTACATCGGTGCCCCACGTCCTATTACTTTACATTTAACGACCAGATTCCTGTTGAAGTCCTCTTCCTTTCAGGGGGGGGGGGAAGATTCGAAATGCACACCAATAGCTGGTTTACAGCTCCTATTAGTATAATCATGATGAAGTCGAACGAGAATGATATATAAACACTTGAAGAAGCAGGTGGAACTGTGCAAATGACCAGTGACCTGCATCATAATCAAGTGAATATGCAGTCGAAATATCCGTTCTGGCCGACTCGCTATGTTAAAACCGTTTAGTTTCTTTAATATTGTATTCTTACAAATATTTTTTTGGGGAAAAACGAGAGGGCATTGATTTCAACGGGTATGCGATTTGCCAAGAAGTATTATTCCATGCATAGAGATACGCACTAACGGGTCGAAATATCAGTTTAATAGTAACGCGCGGACGATAGTAATCCCATAATGATGATAATGT